ATATATATATATATATATATATAAGATATATATATATATATAATATATATATATATACATATATATATATATACATATATATATATTGTGATCGGCCTAGTGGTCCTAGGGGCCATAGTACCGAAATTTAGAGTAGAAATAATTGACATGCGAAGTTATCAAATTCTGCGAACCAAAATATTACACTGACACATTATCATTATATATATCTGGGCCCAGGACTACACTCTAGTCTTTCACCAACTTCTAATTACACTACTATTTATAGAATTGTTTCCCTAACTGGCGTAAATTTCCTATCTCACGATATATATATATACACACACACATATATATATATATATAGACGATTAGAGTACATTACAGCATACCTGGACTTTCTCGGCTGTAAATGGTTTGCTGTCACCCCTACACCACAATTGAGCGTGGCTGTCTGATAGTATCAAATCAAAGTACGCAACATCGTCGGCGGACTCACTGTGTTCTGAGACAATCGCGTGCACGTCAATCAGTATGACACTATGGCGGTACGTTTACCTACAGTGGAGTGAGGTGTATATGAGGGGGTGTACGTAGGTAGGCAGGGGCACAATAAGACATGTAGGTAGATATATGTAGGTAGATACATGTAGGTAGATGCATGTAGGTAGATATATGTCAATAGATATATGTAAGTAGATGCACATGCATGGGAAGATACACGTCCACACGTGTACAGAAAGAATAAAAAACGCAAGCACACAGATCGGAAAGACACCAATACACAGACACATTCACACACACAAACGTGCACTCAAGTACATACATATGCACACACAATATACGAATACGTACACATAACACACACACAATTCACAGAACACACAATACACACAATCGACTCTCAACACACACCTACAAATGCACACACACATACATACAACACACAACACACGACACACACTACACACAACTGACACTCGACACGTACACACAAATGCACACACACACATACCTTCTTGCAACAGATCGTCATAGTCGATAAGCTCCTTCGTGTGGCAGTGTGATACGATCGCCTCTAGATAGCCAATACCCACTAACACACACATACCTTCTTGCAACAGATCGTCATAGTCGATAAGCTCCTTCGTGTGGCAGTGTGATACGATCGCCTCTAGATAGCCAATACCCACTATCTGATTATCGCCCGAATCCGTCACGCCCAAAGCGGGACGAATAACGGGACGTAGGAAGCCGGTGACCACGTGCATGTGTAGTTCTATATATAGATCGGGGTGGCATTTACTCCCGACGGCGTTGATGAAGTCTACGGATGATATGAACTCATCGTACATGTGATTGTTCAGTTGTTTCTGAGTCGGATTAAAGTGGGTCACAGAGATAAATTAAGAATTACTATATGCGATCATATCTCATATATGCTGATACACTCAAACATAAATACATACATATATACATAGATACATAGATACATGCATACATACGTTCATATATACATGCATACATACAAACATGCACCACACATACATACATACATAATACGTACATGTGCTACACAGCACTTACATAGACCACACCATGCTCGGCTACTAGTTACTATTAGTTACTATTAGATACTAATAGCTACTATTAGTTACTATTAGTTACTCGTAATTATTAGTAGTTACTATTAGTTACATACATGCATGTACTATGTACACATACACCACACCATGCTAGAATATTAGTTACTATTAGTTACTCGTAGTTATTAGTAGTTACTATTAGTTACATACATGCATGTACTATGTACACATACACCACACCATGCTAGAATATTAGTTACTATTAGTTACTAGTAGTTATTAGTAGTTACTATTAGTTACATACATGCATGTACTATGTACACATACACCACACCATGCTAGAATATTAGTTACTATTAGTTACTATCAGTTACTACTAGTTAACATACCATGCTCGGCTTTGTTGAGTCAAGAGATGTCTGAAGTGACGAGTACTTTGCGCCCAGTCCTGCCGCCAGCACGGGAATCAGGCTTGAACTTCCCACCAAAAACCGCCGCAACCCACACAAGGTATTTGAGTGTACACCCACAGCCAGGATACCTTCCCGAGCGAGCATGCCTATGTCAGAGTCTTGTGCTTCAAAGACGAACGGAATCAAATGCTCGATGCACATGAGGTCCTGTGCTGGGTCATACTCGCTGCCTGCTTGTTGCAGATAGGCAGGTGTGTGGGTGATACGGGTATGGGCATGGGGGCGTTAGTAATTGTGTGTGTGTGTGTGTGTGTATGCCTTGGGTGCAATGCTTGTCTCAGCGTACACAAGTATGTAACATACTACATATGTTCAACAAGTGTGAGTAGATCCTTTATTGTGACTAGACCGTTGGCATGGCAACGGAGTACCATTGCATGGCTTCAATATTGGCCTCTCGCTGCCTCTACGAATGCACATGCGAGCGGGTGAGTGGGAACGTTTTGAAACCTTAAAACTGGTGATGTACGCGTACAGGCATGGGATGTATGAGTATATGCCTTAGGGTTGAAGCCTGTCAGAACTTTTATGCAAAACGTGCAACGGTTATAGAATGAATCTTTGTTGTTCGTATGCATGTGTTCCCTATGCATGTGTCGTGTGCAGTGGTTGGTGTGTGTAAAGATAAAGACTTGCAAACACGAATACTTCACTGGATAGTCAATTAATGCACAGAGGTGGGCCGGAGAAATTCGGTGAGAACGAGACTCGCACCGACATTTGCGCACGTGTTCTGTTATAATACACACATATGCACATACACACACACACACACACACACACACACACTAT